TTTTTTTTATTCTTTCTCCTTCTTCCCCTTCCCCTTGCTCAGCCCAGGGGCTGATCCTGTATGGAACTGGGGGGAGGTGGGTGGGGTGGATCCTGCTGCTCTGGAAGTGTTTGGGAGCATTCCAAGGGGGAAAATGGGAGGTCTGAGCACTCCCTATTTTCCTGAGGGGAGTGGGTTTGACTCCAGTCCACCCTCCTTGTGGCGATTGTTCCCACCTGTTTTTGGATGTAACACCCTCCTGGGAAGTCGGGATCTGGGGCACGACAGTCGTCCCACTGTGGGTTTTCCGTGGGATGTGTGATCCTGCTGCTGGGATGGTTCTGGGGGGGTGGAGCAGCACTGGGGACACACCAACCCTGTGCTGGGGAGCCAGGCAATTATCAGGGCGTGGGCAGCAGCCCCTGGAAGCTGCTGATAAGATCCCTGAGGAGGGGCCAGCCCTGCAGGCCGAGGGGGATCCTTGTGTGCCTGAGGAGCTGGATCCTGGCTCTGCATCCAGAGACCCTCTGGACCCACCTCTGAGCAGGGACAGGGGGGCAGCAGGGCTGGAAGGGGCTCACTGGGGGTTTTCTGGGGATTTTACAGGGCAGAGCCTCTGCCTGCACCGAGGGAAAGAGGTTTGGGGGCAGCTCAGGGGCCCTGGGGAAGCTGAGGCAGGAGGACGGGGCTCCCTGAGCGCTGCTGGTTGGGCCAAAGTTCCTGCTGGAGAGGAAGAAACCCCTCCCCAAAAAGTGCTGTATTTTTAGGGTGTCACCCTCTAACACCAAACAACACTCTGTGGGGGACGTGGAAGTGTTTGGGGACCTGCCAGGGTGACAGCCCCCTGTCACATAACCTTGGGGTTATTCCCCAAAGATGCTGGGAATGGCAACCCTGAGCTTATTTTTAAGTGAGTCTGGCACGATTTTTAGGGCATTTTGAGGGGTTGTTTTTAGCACTAGTGGCTTTTCTGCCACGTATATGGGGGGGGTCTGGCCATGGGGTCTCAGTGCCCTGGAGCAGCTGGAGAATTTGCGTGTTGGTTTTTCCAAAGAAGTGAGGAAAATGTCATCTTTTAGGGAACTGAAACAGCTCAGAGGACCAAAGACAAGCTGTAGAAAAGGGTCAAGGCAACAGGGACATTCTGTCCGAGGAGGAATTTCCCTGCAGCCTCCTGGCTCTCTTTGAGGCATCCCAAATATTTTGTTCAAATGGAAGAGATCCTTGACTGAAGGTGCTGTTTCTGGTCACAAGGCCTCGCTGGGAAGGGCTGAGCTGTCAAAAAAAAAAAAAAGAGAAAACCTCTTCTTTTTTTGCTGCACTTTCACCACAATGTGTCTGGTGAAATCAGTTTCTTCAGCTGGCCACAATTATAAACCAATAAATCCTTTACCCTGTGCCTAACCAAGGCCTGCAATTTGTCTACATATATATATATATATAATTTATCAGCAGCTTTTGCTGTTGTCTTGCAGGGCAGAAGGTATATTAATAATCTCCCCACCTGTAGCTGATAGTTATGATCCCAATGGATGCAATTTTTGTGTTCCACCACAGTTGCCCCCAATTTAAAAACATGTGTTAACGGTGTTTATCACACAGGAAAGCAACAGGAAATAATAATGATGATAATAATAATAATAATCATCTGTGCTGAGTGAGCACTTTAAGGCTGATGGAGCCCAAAATGCTTTGGGAAATGGGCATTACTGGGGCTGGGCTGCCCTCGGGGGTGCAGGGGTTCATGTGGGGCTGGAGATGAGGAGGAATATCCATGCCCTGAGTGTTGGCAGCTCGTTGCCCTATGGATGCAAGTGGATACCTGGATCCACTGCACGGGCAGGAGATGGATAATCATAGAACCATGGAATGGTTCAGATTGGAAGGGACATTAAACATCACCTCGTTCCAACCCTCTGCCATGGGAGGGGATAAATCCAGGCCGAAAACAAAGCAGCTCCTCAAGCTCTGCAAAGCCTCTGCCATGGCCAGCTCAGGCTGTGATGGAGCTGAGCCCCCAGTGCTCCCAGTGGAGACCTGGAGCCACCCAGTGACCCCCGTGAGGGTTTTGTGGGGCAGTGGGTGGGAAGGGACCGGCCCCCATCACTGGCTGAGCTCATGGGAACAGAATGTGTCCTGCCCATGGAGCCCAAAATATCCCCTGGCACCCTCCGTGCCCTTGCGTAACCCACCCCTCGGTGGGCACCTCGGGGGCTCTGCAGTGCCAGGAGCCATCCCGGGGGGGGGGGCTGCGAGCCAGGGACCCCCCACAAGCCCCTCCAAAAGGAGCACCATCCTCAGGGACACAGCGGGAAAGCCTGGCAGGGTGGGGGGTCCGTAAGCTCCGAGCCCTCCGCAGGTAAAAAGCCGCTCGCTTTGGATTTAAAGGGCGGTCACCGGGCCAGAGTCCCTGCCCTCGCTGGGGATAAATCGGGCTTATCCCGGGGGAACTGCGGGCTCTGGGCACCTCAAATGGCCGCTGGAGCGTTTCAGTCCTTGGGAAGCAGCCAGGGAAGGGCTGGGAGCAGCCGTCGTTCAGGATGTGTCCCCGAGCTGCTGTCCCCGGGGCTCGGGGGGTCACCCCGCACCCCCAGCTCTGCCACCGCTGGGTGCAAGGGGGTCCCCAACCCCTGCCGGGGCGATGGAGGGGGACAATCGGGCAGCGCAGCCCGGATTTACAGCCCGAACCGACCCCGAGGGGGCTGAAGGCGGGCGGGCGTGTCCCCTCCCCGCCCGTTCCCGGCTTTCCCGGCCCGGCAGCGCCGCTCGCTGGGGA